CACCTTGGAGTGATTGTGCTTAATGATGCATAAGAAAAAAACGATTTCTTTTTTCTATGGTCATAGTGCGAGTGGGCACAACATATCATCATTGTTATAGTTTGTGGTATATTGTGTGGTGGATGATAGCTAGACGTGTTTGGGGGTGAACCGAACCCCCGACCGTTCCTGTCGCCGGGGCATTTGTTGTTAATCAATACACGAGACTGTTACGGCAGTCGCCGCGGCGGTACACAAGGACGCCAGGAAAAGCCGTCGAATATACACACAGGTACCTCTAATAGAGTAATATGTACATTATACTTATAAACATATTAAACATATAAATGGATTTTGTATGTATATAATACGTATCACTCGCCCCACTTAAAGGTTTAACGACCTTATGGCCGAAACACGTGAAACCCCTTCACGTCATCGTCGACGTTTGCTGTTTGACGAATGGTCTTTGTAAGCATCAATCCGAGTCTGTTCTCGATTCGCCCAGGTGGTTTGCATTGTCGATATTTTAGAAAATTTTAAAATGCCAGTGTATAAATCATTTTACAGCAATTTATACGCGGACCTGTTGCTCTATTTGCGTAGTAGGCCCTCGAGTGTTTTGTTCTGTCCCTCTTGACGAGGGATAAAGCCCGTATTTTCTTTTAACACTTTTAAACGTTTAACCAAGCGCTAGGAAGGACATCCCGCGTTTACACAGTCAATTAGACCAGAATAAGCTATGAACATGACGCTTTCTATCGGCGTACTAAATTCGAACAACGAAAAGTTTAAGATTCTCTCATTTCGACGAAAGTGTCTACAAAATCTGCATCGTAGAGGTGTAAAAAATGAAAGAAAGCGACCACGCGATTGTTAAACCTTGGCCAAACTTATGTCGGAATTGATTTTTTTTAGCCGGCCCTGTTGTTGCACACCTGTGAACCGCCATCGCTGTCGCATTCGCCAATTATCCCCGACTGCGACCGCTATACTTTGAGCCACAAACGAACATTAAACTAAATCAGACAACAATGTAATGACTTATTCACGAATACGAAACATTAAAATATAAATCATAATCACATATTTTCGTCAAATACACGAGTATTATATATATACATTTTTCCCAATACGGAAGTCACTTTAAAATAAATAAAGAAAATAGATAGCAAATGATAAATATTCTTTCGATCCTCTTATGGCTTATCGTATTGGCTTATCAATTCGTAATTATATTTACAGGTACACACACAAAAAAAAAATAGAAGATTCTGATTTTTGTTTTGCAAGTTATTTAATATTTTAGAAGTGATATAAAAATAACTAAATGAGGCGCTAGAGAAATTTTGATGCGAGTTTAGCGGAAAAATAATTGATGTATCTTGGTTCTTGTTTAAAAATCGTACTTATGAGAATAAAAAAATATACAAAATGTCAAAACTTTACATAGAACTAACTTACTATTTAAAGGGTAGAAACTCACTGGCAGTAAGTATATAAATATATTAATCATTATATATTAATGATACGCCGTTAAAAGTAATAGTTTGTAAAACTGTAATTCATCGATAATAAATTATTGTAGTCTTAAATGTGAATTTATGAGTTGATAGACTTGCAACATTGCAAGTAATGCTATAAGTTTATCAATATTAAATGTGTGCTGATGGCTGATTCGTGTTCGGCGTATGCGTGTGCGTGTGTGTATGTTTATTGATTATAAGACAAGGTTTTGTGCTACATACCTAAACGCAACAAAGCGCATAACAAAAACGTTCATACTGTAATTAAAAAAAAAATTAAAAAATAATAATGCAACAAAGAAACACAATCGATAATCGAGTTACGAATGTATATATAGCGGAAAACGTGATTTAAAATAATGCTTTCTAGTTTCAATTGACTTAACTATGGTTTAAGTTTGAAACTAGAAGTCTTACAACATTAATCATTATTATAAAAACTAGAATAACATAAAACATTAATAGTATAAATTACAATAATATTATTTGTTTAACTTATTATTAATAATTTAAAAGAATTATTTTTATAGCACTTACTGTTATCCCTGGGGTCGGTACACTATGCAATGCTGGTCTTAGGTTGGCTATTCAATATGAAACTCTAGGTTCAAAAGAACTAATGTATATATATACATATATATATATATATATAGAATAAAAGAATACAAAAAGATAGCTATAATAATGGGCTTAAATATGCATTAAAAAATCCGCAAAACGCAAGTAAGTCGATAGTTGAATATAATCGAATAAATGTGGGATAGTCACTCAAAGAACTTTAAAATAAATAGTTTACTAAGTACAAAAAGTCTAAGTACAGCGATTATAATATATAATGTATTATAATTTATATTGTAATTTATTATACCGTTGTACGTGACGGCGTGACTTTACACAATGAATGCATGTAATTAATTATCATTTTAGGGTATTATACTTACACGTGTATAATGCATACAATACGGTGTTTGGCATTGTTAATATTTTTATTAATATTTATCGGCAAACAAAGCGATTATGAGTGTGACGAGATCAAATCTATATACTTTTGGTACGTGTGCGCTTACCAACTGATTGCAAACTTCACAGCCGGCTTCAAATTAAATTTTATGGAACTCGCCCTCCCCCAACACGTAATTGGATTTTCCAACGATTTCATAATAATAATTTTTGGTGTGTATTAGGGTGGTCCTTATTTTAATTTTCATTGTCGCTTTAAGCGGACGCCTACTCAATATTGCTTTTAAAAAATTGGCAGTGTCAATTTAACAGAATTGAACAAATCCTTTTTAATAATATAGAATTGGTGATTTTTTATCAAAATTTGATAAAAAAAAATAATTTCATTAGAATCTCAATACAAGAAAACAATTGTTTTGTTTAAATCGTGTTTCAATAAAAAAAAAATTGATGTACTAATACATTTAAGAAAAATTTCTTTATAAGTTTTGTTTTTTTAATTGATAGAAGTTAAACTCAATAAAAAATGTTAAATCAGGCAAAAGTGTTCTAGAGAATTTACTACAGGCCGAGACTATATAATATAAATGTTAAGGTTATTACCATAAATTACTATACAATGCAAATAATAAGACAAATAAAAAAAACAAGATTTAGACTTGTAATCTTATAATAACCTCAATAATCGTTTTTATTATATAAACTAGACAAAGGACTTTCGGTTTGAATGCATTTTTGATGTTAAAGGTACTCAAGTATACTCAGTTATGTGGGTGGACAAAACTTTCAAGGCAGCGTCCGTCAACCCTTGGGTGTGCAATTTCCTCTAACAAGTATCATGCAATTACCGCATGTTTATGCTTGTTTAAACGTACCAAACTGGCCTTTCTTTGTTTCCACTCCCACACACACACCAACACTTGTGGTTAACCCCTTATAATTTATCGCACTCATGGCGAACGGCTGTCGTTTGGATAAACCTCTTTAAAACACCAGCCCCGCCCGCCATACATAAGACGTTATTCACGATCCTTATATTTTACTTGTGGAATTCAATTCTAAAATTCCCGTTGTATACTTTTCTGCATAATATAGTATGTACAGGGTGTTCCGGATATCCGTTGCTTTGTTAAACTTAGCTCACCGTCTTTACGTTTAGTCAAAACTCCAAAAAAAAACAATTGCTATTGTTATACAATTATTATAATAATATTGTACAGCTATTGTTGTACAACATTATCACAAAGTAACCATTTTTATGTTGCCAAAAGTTACCAGACTTTATCATATGAACCGTTTTGTATTATACACACATCGGGCAGTTCTGTAAAATATATTAACATGCTCTACAGTGTATACCGTTACTTAAATACGTATTGATTAGGATTAAGTAGGTAGATGAAAAAAAAATTGTTTTTGCACTTAACACGACTCTGTAAATGTCATACATGGATGAGAGAGAGACTGATGATTCTTTAAAGATCCCAAAGGCTACCTGAACCCGTCAAGTGGCGGTCGTAACTCGATTCCAAACAAATCTACCGCCCCAAGTCCCACAAGGTATCTTTTTACTGACATTAGTGATAAATGAGATTTTAATTCTTTGTTAAAGTTGGCCCATGTAATTACGTTTAACTAGATGTTACTTCGCTAACAGATTATGATAGAAGGTTAGGAATGCGAGGAAGGAACATTTCTATTATTACACGTCAGTATTATTATTATTTAGTGATAAACAGATTTGTCTATTAAAATAAATAGTACGCAACGCACTTCTGCATTCATTTTGCATATACAACGCGCCTTGTTTAAACACCAAACGCCGGTTCGCCTTTTTTCATTTAAAACCTGTTTAATAAACGACATTTAATATGTATGTTCAATATGTATGTTATATTTAACGTAAAAGTAGCGTACAACGTTAGTCTAAACATATATACATAATTTGTTTTTATTATATTCTTATTTTAAGAATATAAATAAGATAATGGATAGCAGCGACCTACATTTTTTTACACCAACTACACTTTATTTTATTATGATTTTATTTTTTTATAACGGTAATATATTAGATATGACATATGTGATCACGTTACTATTTTTGAAATATATAATTCGTTTTTATACATTTTAGGTTTAGCCAATCTGTAATTGTTTGAATCGTGAACAGTTTCTCATACATTTTTCCAAAAAAATAAAAGCGGTGCGGCGTAAAAAAGTTTTCGATCAAACACTACTGCAACACCAACAGGAAAAAATTATTTTGGACAAACATTCCATTAAAAAACAACAAGGTGCTAATAATAAAAGTTAAAACAAAAAAAAGTGTTTTTATCCTGTGGTCCTTATGAGACGTATCACCCTTTTAGCCACTACATATTATGAAGTTCAACGTTGTTGTTGACAAAACGGTCTTACCGAAACCATTTTTATCTAGCCACAACGTTTTACGCAACTATTGTTAATTATAACATAAGTCATTGAAAAACCAGAAACAATCGAATGATGAAATTATTAATAAATCTGAGGACTTACCCTGAAATGCAGCCTCGAATTGTAAATTTTTTTCCGCTGTCTGTGTTTCGCAAACAACTGTTACCGCCACCGTTAAAAAAACGGCTATGGCCATTGCGGTCAACCGATATTCACTCATATTAACTTGGCACAAATTTCAATGACCGAAAACCATTTATCCACAACTACTATTCGCGCCCTTGCGTTTTCTCGGCGGAAATGTCATACTGTCTTCCCTGACAACTTGTCACTTCATTATAACTTTCTAATCATGACTGTTCTTCAACAACAAAAAAACCCGTCAATTCTGTCTCGACTAACCCAGGATATGCTTAAAACGGAGAATAAAAAAAAAAAAAATCTATAAACAAAAATTTGAACAAAAAAAAAACCAAACACGACCCCCTTAGTCGATGCGTTGCGGACCTTTCAAGTTCTTTTAGGCGACTGACAGTCTGCCTGTTCACACTATAGTCACTAGGTGAAATCGTCGACGCTTTTCGCCAGTAGTCGTGCCATCTACCGGTTATGGCCAACAGCCGTGTCTGCCACTGAAAGTCCCTTGGAAAATTCCAAAGACCTTCCGAACACAATCATTATAGGTTTTGGCGCCATATCGTCATAGCAATATAAACAATAGTTAGTACAAGTTGTACTAACTTACTTAATACTGTACTTAATACTTGTACTGTACAACTTTGAGCAAAAATGTTAATCTGTATTAACCTCTATTCGTTTTTAACCAACTAAAAACGGTTTTAAGTTTTACAGTTTCGTCTTGAATGTTTTCCAGACGAGTGTAAGTAATTTTAAGTGAAATAATTCTGGGCATAAAATCCATGCTTGACCAACTTCCCATAATATGACTGTAATATCACATTATGCGAATTGGTTGAGTTTTTTTAATAATAACTATTTTAAATTGCACATTTACCTCGTATATTACTCATCAAAAAGTTAAAATTGAAATATGAAGCAACATCTTTGAGGGTATTAAATGGATATATTTTATTTGAAATCTAACTAAACTAGTACTCTCATCTTTTTGAGAAATACCCACTAATCTTTGACTGCTATAACTGGTTTTTAACTATTCGGCACATATTGATCAATATCATCGCAGAAAACAAATAAAATCAAAACACACTATTTTTCTAACAGATGGTAAATGAATAATACAATTTTGAAATTTTGTTATATTTTCAGTACAGTAAATTTAAAATTTTAATTTTCTATTTTGCTTTTTTACTGTCTGATATAGTGAAATTATCTTTACTATTTTGTACTAATATGTGATCTGTGTTATTTTGTCTGCACTAAAAATAAAAGTGTATTATTTGAATGGCAATTTTTGGGGGTAAATCGTTAAAATTTTGGTTAAACTTGGTGTACAGACTTAACAAACGTATGTAATTTTGTTAACAATATAATTTTACTTAAGTTTGTGTCAAAAAAACAATTGATTGACCGTGCCATAGCGTGATCAATATGGCTACTAGTTTTGAAAATGTCAAAATTTTACTTTTTCTAACTTCCAACTAACTTTCAAACTTATTACTATTTTCAAAAATAATATCTATGTTTATGCGCTGTAATACTTTCTGTTGTGCTTTTTTTTAGTTGTGAATTTCGTAAGACTTACCTACTTAGTCAAAAAAACAATATTGTAGAACATAAAACGTGTACCCACATTTTGTATTACAAGTACTCGTGGATATTTATAAGTAGGTAGTATTATGTAAATATTTAATTTAATATTTATTATAAAATGTAACTATTTATTTCTTAAATGAACATACAATATAATATGTTACAATACTATACACTGTATAGTATACAGCATTGAAATACTGCAGTGTGGAAATTCGCATTTAGTCAAACAAAGCAACAATTAAAAATGTTATGTGAAAGTGTGTATTCAAAATTTCAAAGTGCTGTTAGGCCAGTTTAATAATGTTATTAGACTACTAACCAGTAGCAATGGGTCATCTATAAATTAATGGTTTTAATGGTTCCTGTTCTTTAAAACATAATTTTAATGATATTTTTAGTAAAAAATCGATTTATGACAAAAATTAACGATGTTCTGTTATCGTGAAACTTTTCTCCTTATAAATCATACCTTGTAAATGTTTTTTATCATAAAAACATTTATGTAGGTATGTAATTTTAAGTAGGTATAAAGATGGTTCCCAAGTATTTCGAATAGAATACAATTCATATAACCTTATTATTTTGAGTTAATAGTACAATTACTGTTTATGTTCTCGTAGGTCTCAGTTCGATAAAAATATTGTACTCATCACTAACAGCTGATTACTTTTTGCATGGATAAGTTTTTTCACAAACGTTTTGGTTTATGTTGATTAAAGCATGTTTTATAGTCTTCAATACATTTTGTAAAATGTAGGTCAATAGCTCTCGCCTCTCAATACTTTTTGAACAAGGTCTGGTACTATATCATACTTTAATGGCTTTACATTATTATAGTAAATCACTAACAAAATATAATAATCTAATAATTGTAAATTAATTTACATTTGGAAATTATATTATTATTTCTCTGGACAGTTGCTGTATCCTAGTTTAATAATTACAACAGTCGTCGAACAAAAAGCATCTAGCACTATGATGATATGATGAAAAAATAAAATGTGGTATCTTAATGAAAAAAAATTTTCTACGAGTATATTTTAGCTTGTAGAATGCGACTGCCATTGTCAGTTTAATTCATATTAGACAGATAGGTATAATATTTTTGTGTCTTACTTTTGTACCAAAAACTTCCTAGAGAATAAATTATATTGCCTTTTAAAAAAGAAAAAAAATATTTAATTGTTGATTATATCTATAATGATTACACTAGTATAATATTAATTGTTGGTATACGAACTAGATTGTGATTGTGATGATTAACCTTGAAAATTGTGATACATAATTAAATAGAACACCTGAAATTATTGAGAATAATAAAAACCCTTCTTTTTTTTTGAAAATCTTTTTTTAAAATTATAATACAAAGCTTTTTATGCAATTGCTTTCATATGTATTATGTCATTTTGCTACTATATAGAATCCCCCTAGTGACTTTTTTCTGTTGTAACAAATAAAATTATATATTTGAAATTCGAATTAAAAATACCCGTAGTCGTCTATAATATGAGAATGTCGTGACTTATTTTTTAATATCCATTATTTAAGAACTAAAATTTTAATATGATTCATACAACTGTTAGGAGTACAACAACAAGGCAGCGTCACCAACAAAACAATGTTTAAATAAGAGTATTACAGTGGGCACACAAAACTACTAAGATAACATAATACTCAAGTACACGTCAGTATATAAATAATTTTATATAAATGACAAATATTTACACGTTTGCGTGGAACTCCCATTTACAATTTCATAAGAAAATTGTAAAGATAATATTTGTTTTTCTGCCAAAAACATTAGTACAACGAAACATACTTTAGCTGTCTACTATAAATTCACCATCATATTTAACATATCAAACCCTCTCGCATAAACTTGATAAACTTCAATAGAAAGGTAGATTTTTTTTCATAACCTTACAAAAAAAAAAAAAATTATACATAGCATTTTAAATGTTTTTATTTGTTGGCTGTTTAGAATCGGTATAGTTCTTTATAAGTATGATTATTAACATGGGTACAATTATTTAGTCAAAGCTAAACTTGTATTTTTTTTTAATAATTCAATCAAACACATTATAATAATACATTATAAATATAACGACGTCAACCCGTTTTTTATAGACAATTTTATTATTATTATTTATAAGTAGTATTTTTAATATTATTTTTATTATTATATAATATATTTAATAATAATTTTGTAAATTTAAATTTCTATGACTAGAACCGAATTTGTTTACATGGAGCTTTTAAAAACATTTGTACAAAATAAACCTATAAAATAGTACTAAAATAAAAATGGGTAAATATTTAAACATAATAATTGTAATGAAATGTTGCACTCGAAGAAGAACCAACAACTTTTAATGCGAAACAATAAATTATTATCATAGTTTTCTTTCTCCGTTATAATTGTTTTTTTTTGTTTGGAGAAGAAAATGAGATTTGTACAAAATGGAAAAAAAGTGGTTATACTTATTATTTTTTTTTCATAAAACACCAAAAAAATGTATATACAGACACTTACATAAAAAATTGTTTTTTTTTATGAAAGTCTCAATAACAATGTAATATAATTTACTCCTAATTATTTTTGCTTAAATAATTCAAAACATTTTTGTTTAAATAAGACATTGAATAAAAATCGTTGTGCCTTAGTATAAATAGTTATAATAATAATAATAATTATAATAATAATAATAATAATATCATAATATGTAAAACTTTTTATTCACATTCACTGTACTAATTGTAAACTTGTTGTAAATAATTATATTTAGTTTAATTTAAAGTGATTAAAAGCTAAACAAATCTATTCTACGCATTCATATTTTTGTCTTAAATATTTACACAAAACAAAAATTTATCTATAAAGAGAATTCTAACGCTACGGTTGAATTACATTATTAACTTTGGATCTTTATAAAAACAAATAATAGGCACTGAAAAATTGTCATCTTAGTGGAACCGTGTCTTTTCTATGCGGACGATATGCGGATTTGATTATAACATTTGATTACATAAATTACATATTTTTAAGATACGGTACACATTACCAAACTGTACGATTGATTTTAAAATATACCTTTTCCAGTGTATAGATAAGCTGTGTTATAAACAAGAATGACCACCGATTTTATGCGAAATTCCTGCCCGTCTATGAACTATGACGAGGATACCTTTGTTGATAATGGGAATTCGAAAAAAAAATAGTTACCGGCTTATCTGTACATTTAAAAACCAACGACTGTACACTACCATTTACTGGGATGTAATCAAAACAAATTAGATAATTAATATTGCCAGATTTTTTCCAGTCTACTCCCGCCGCTTGGTCCTCTCGTAAAAAAAATGGTTTTAATGTAAAATTTTACAACGCCTAAAAAGATTTTCCAAACTACTGTGTGTTTTTAGCGTACAACTTTGCCCATTATTGTGAATCAATTCCCATTTGTTGCCATTTTGTTACCCACAGTGTCCCTCCCTTATGGAATACAAACTTAAAATAGGGGTGGGGGGGGGAATATAATTTATATATTATACAGCTTGAAAATGTTTACAATTGAATGTACTTGTATCGCGATTAGTTACTAATTGTTAAATGATTTCACTTGTGCTAGTATTGAGTGTGGTACAAAACTTAAATAACAAAAAAAAAAAATGTTTGGAAAATAGATTAGGTAACACGTTTATGGTTCGTTTTATAGGTAATATTGTGTGCATTAACATAATATAATGTATTGTACGATACGACTTCTTAAAATAACATATTAATACCGCATAAGCTGTTTTGGAAATGTGTGCATTGAATTTTCGTGTAGGTACATAAAATCTGTAAACATAAAAACATGAATTATCTTTTTAAATAAAACTAGTTCATAATACTACATTTAGCTGACTTTAATCAATCGAATAGACTTTTTATACTACACAGTTTCAATGGCGAAAGTTGTAATTTACTATGTCAGTAGAGTTGTACACCTATTGTTAAATACGCTTAAAACATTTGAAGATTATTCAAAACCGTTGAAAATTTGTGGATTTGCTTAGCCTAAACATATATGTAACCAGGAAGACACTAATGAAAGGTTAGCTATTTTAACATAATAATTGTTATTAGTTCTAATTTATTTCAAACCGTCTGAAAATTCGTCGTAAGTAAGATCATTTAATTATTTAGTATTAAGTTGCAATATGAACATAAAATTGTAGATTATTACGGATAATATTTGTTTTTTCAACCGAGTTAAAACATTAATTACAATTTACACATAGGTGATAGAAAATTTTTGTTTTTTGACATTTTATAAATCAATTCTTTGCAATATAATTCTCTGTGAAATTGAGAAGATAAAATATAATTTAGTTTTAAAATGTTTTTTTTATAATAATTTGTAAAAAATAATGTTTGCTACTTTATTTTTATTGTTACAAAATTATATAATCTATTGAGATTGAAAAAAGAAAAGGGCCTGATACTGTGTGCATAGATTTTTTACAATTAGAAGTGGACACTCTGCTGCTACAAAACCAACACCCACATGCCATTTAAATGCAGCTTTTGTGTAGATAGAATATATTTTGAATAGCAATGACGATGCGGGGTACTGGGCAAACGTAGGTAAAATATTTTGTTTGGATTTTATGCCAGACCTTTAGCGTGTCAACCGTGATAGGTGCGTTTCCGGTTAACGAAGTCTAATACAGTCCACATCCTCTAAGGTTGTTGGCAATTATGACGTCTGTAACAGCGTCGAACACAAATTGTATATTGTTCGTATCCGTTGCACACGTCATGTGGCAGTAAATCTCTTTTGTAGTGGACTTGTTTTTGGCCTCAAACTGCGCCTGGATATAGGCCGCAGCCTCTCCATACTCTTGGGCCCCTGAAAAACGGAACACATAATAGTTATTATTTAGTGATATTATTATTTTTAAAATTATACATCCGTATTGAACATGGCGCAGAGCCGTCGCCAATTCGCAATAGTGATTAGTGACGCTGTGCGCGAGGAGTTCAGGACAGAAATAAACTTTTTATTTTTAAATTGTTCTTTTTTTTTAATAATAACTGTACACACATTCCAATTGATTTGTTGTTGAAATCTATTAGACCGAACTTAAAATGTGTGTAATAACGTTTTGACGTACCTCCGTATTCCGGGAAACATATGGTGAGCGGCGATTTTTTGATTTTCTCTTCGAACAAGTCTTTTTTGTTTAGAAACAATATGATGGACGTGTCTGTGAACCATTTGTTGTTACAGATCGAATCGAACAGCTTCAGACTCTCTTGCATACGATTCTACAACATAAATATAAAATATGTATCTATTTTGAGGTGGCCCGGCGAGCAGGTTCCATTGTAGAAGACTTTACACAAGCATGATGCGCGCATAAGCCATCTCATTAACGTCCATCTCGTTAGTATGAATTGTTATACTCTTAGTAAATTAGATTAGTAAATAGCCTTATTATGTATGTTTATTGTTTATAAACATATATATATATATATATATTATTCGTCAAAAACTGTTGTAATACTAAATTTGGAAAAGGTCCAGCTGCCAGAAAAATAAATATTTTTATTGGCTGTTATGTCATGTTTATTGGATGATGTTGTGGTGTTGTTATACAATTTAATTATAAAAATACAAGTATTTTAAAGTATTAAAATTACATTTACAATTAATATTGTAAAACATATTTGACTATCAGCACTGAAAAAGAAAAGTTAAACGAATTTCCTGAACGAGTTCTATATTATGTAGTAACACAACTCTAAAATGCTTCTTTTTAAAATCGATAAACAAAAAACTAGAAAGAATTATTTTTTAGGAATACATAATTATACATAGAATTATAGTTCGTTTTAACTATAATACATTTTACCTAAAAAAATGGTACCAAAAATGAGAGAAAAAAGACTAAGAATAGTAATGAGAATCAACTTAGGAGGAAATAGGGGTAGAGGAAGGCCGAAAAAGAGGGGGTAGGATGCATTTGAGAATGTGAGGACTGCTGGTGTATGCTTGGATGATGTGGGTAATCCGTAGTCGTACAAAATAGAAGTTTAGTGTTAAGGTGGCCGACCCCAAATAGTTGGAACGAAGGCGAAGAAGAAGAAGGCCTATACAAATACATAGTATCAAAAATAAAATAAAAATTATTATATTGATAATAATATTAATTGTACTATTAATTTGGTGGTTATAGTTTTATGTTTTTAATCATTAACCGGTAAATTTATTTGTATTGTATAAATATACCATACTAACAACTTATATATATATATATATATATATATATATATATATATATTAATACACCGGATGCTTAAAGTAGTAAAACCACTGGTTAAGAAAACATTCTGTATTGAATATAGTTTAAGGGTTGACCGAGGAGGGTATAATGTGGCAGCATGGCAGAAAGTAGTAGAGGGGTAATACTACCGGTGATGGTGGTATCGATCGTAAGCGGTGTTGCCTTGACGACGACCATCGCTAGCGTTGGAGATAAGATCTTCATATGTATGTATGTATGTATATGTGTAGATATTTAAAGGGTATTTTACAAAAATTTACTCGTAACATTTTTTTTTTCGATGTAAATAATAATATTTTTTTAAAAACAAATTAAAATATAATTGCCGCATTCGCACAAAACAAATTACCGTTTATAATATACTTTTTTTAAGCTTAAAAAAAAAAAAAGTATATACTGATTTGATTGGGAATGATGCAGTTATGTGTATATGTGACCAAAAAGTTCAATGTTTTCAAAAACTCGAGGGAAGAATAGGGTAATAACAATAACAGTCAATGATAAAAATCTGGTGCAGCAATTTAAGTTTCAACATATAATGTATGCTGTAGCCGAAAAAATAAAATGTATACAATACCAGCAAACATTTTTTGGGAATATCAACAAAATCGTTATTAATAAAGGTATAGTAAACTTTTCATTAAAAGATGAAGTAAAGACTTAAAAAAAGTTTTAATTTTATTAAAAGTATTATATATTCGCAATGGCGTAATTACTACGGTCAAATAGATGAAGATAATTTCTGATGCTAAATAAATTTGTTCGTTTTTTTTTTTAGTATTATTTGTTTATAACATATTGCGATGCGTTAACTGTTGGGCTGTAATATAAAAGGAAATAAACTGGGATTTGTTATTTAATTAGTTAAAAGGTCACTAAACATTATACGCTATCACATTTTGTACGACCCGATCAGAATACATTTTTTTTATTATTATTACTAATTATTATAGTTGGTTACTCAATAGTGATCGTGAAAATCAGAAATTGTTTAAAACCTCAAAGACAGGGTCTAGATGCACGTTCAACAAGTCAATACGGATGCTTTGTATAAAAAGTAGCTGTCGGGGATAACACTACACACCGTGATCTCTATTGAGATTATCTAATATGGATTATGTCACGTTAAAATTTCAAAGCCGAGTCGTCGACAAAGGTTCTCGAATCGCATTATTTGAATAATCGTAAAAGTGACAAGAAGAAACATAAAAAAGAAAACATCAACACGACCCCTGAATGTTTCCTTCTAGATTATTGATCTCGGACAATATTTCATTTTTAATCGAAACATGAGCTAAACAACGGATATTGATTAACACTAAGTGGTTGCGTTGCCAAAAACTGCAAACGCTTCCAAACAGGTGGGAGAATTCGCATCATTTTACTGAACAGACGGTGCAAGTGTTTTTGTAGTTTTACATGCAACTATAATAATATAGTCAGTATGTCTGACGAATGAGATAATTTATTGAACTACAGCGACGTGTATAGTTTTAATTAAATGTCAAAGATCAATTAACGCCAAGGCGGGTCGACCGTCTCGAGAGTGTGAATTAAACCACTCCATTAAAAAAAAAAATACGAGTCTTGACGACCTCTTTTTTTTTTATATACCCTTTATCCCGTTTTATAATGAATCAAAGAGTTATAAATAATTATAATATTAACACATATGCTTGATCACGGGCGTACTCTATTACAGTTTTTTTAGTCTAGTACCTAAAAATTATAAGGTTTGTTACTATAAAGCCAACGATTGTTATCGATAAGTTTACAATTATTTCACTATCGTGGTAATTATTCGAAAGGATAAAGAACTGGTACATCTGTAAAATGCTTATGACTTTTACTATATAAACGTACATTATTTGAATAATTTGATCAACAAGTTAACTATTATATTCAACTTCGAATTTATTAAATTTTTGTAGGTAAATGAAGTGGGTAGCCTAAGTTTTTTTTTTAGAATAAATACATTATAGAATTTTTAAATTTATGTATTCTAGAAATAGAAAATTATAAAGTTTAAGGGCCATTAAGTATAATGATATTTTTTTCATTTTATAATATGTTAAAAAACACTATGCTAACCATAGTTTCGTTTTTTCGCTTCTAATAGGAGGGAATCCATTTCAAAACTATAAATCTAGAGGCCGAACTTATTGAAGTATTTTAGTTACGAACGAGCTTGAGTAATACATTTTGTGGCTATATTCCAAAACATGGCATTGCCACTTGTTTTTTTATTAAGGATAGTTTTTTTCGGCTCCACGTATTTGATGTCTTGTGGAACTATATTATATAGGTCTAAAATAATATTAAGGTTTTTTTTTATAAAATCTATAGGTCACAAAAGTGATAACTAGGCAATAGCAAATTACTTGGTTTATTTGTTTTTTATTACCATGGGCAATAAAACATTTTATCCTTAAATGGAGTTAACTCGCTTTTGTATAAATATGTATTTTTCCGCTATACCTATAACATACGGTTTTCATACTGGAATACCACTTTTTTGGGTAAAGAGCCTATTTTTTTTACCTTTTTGCGGTTTTAACAATAGGCTTTCATGTCTAACTCAAATTTTTTAATTTCAGTAATGATAAGTTTTGTAATACAGCCACTCGTATAAGAAATTTTTGGGTAATTGAGACGGGAATAAAGGGTTTGTGGTTACATTAATTATAATAACTACCAGGGTTGGGTAAAACCTGGGTTTGCAGAATTTTGAACCAAATTTGTTAGGTTAAAAGAAATGCATAGATTTTTAAAAGTGTGAATTTGGGACTTTCATAATTCTGATAATGCTTGTTTTGCCCAACTCTGAACACAGACATATCAGGTCGCGCACGCGAATGGAAACAACTATTGCGGTATAAATGGGATCTTACCGTCGTCTCATCTTCGTGAAGCACTTGATCGTATTCAGACATGGCCACACAGAATATGATCGCCGTGACATCTTCAAAGCAATGGATCCATTTCTTTCGCTCCGATCGCTGACCGCCGACGTCGAATAATCTATACAAACCATACAACAGTTAAGTACACAAGCGTAAAAAATCTATCAAGTCCGCACACTCACTTGAAGTTAAGGTTTTTAAACGAAAAATGTACTTCGACGATACCGGTGGTTTTCACTCTGGTACGCAGTATGTCCTGTTCGGTGGGCTGGTAATCTTTAGACCCTAACCTGTCCAGATCGTCCAAAAAACTAAACAAAAATTAAATAACACCCATGAGTATTGAGTTCATTAAAATAGCACGTTACTGTACTGGAAGTAAAATTGTACCGAAGACTTCGTAAATAAAAAAAGACCTTTCTAATAACAGAACCTCTCATGTATTATATTCAAATAAATATGTAAAAACAATGCAAGTGCCCATATGATGTCCACTATCGGGTATAACAATAATATTGTATTGGTACCTAACAACCGTTCACACATGCCAGTTGTCTTAACAAATTTACAAAAGTATTTTTTTAGTTCAACCCGAAGGAAATACAGAAAAAAAACTATTCAACAAATAAATATAATATTTTGACTATCTATCCACGTTTATTAAATTTAAGGTAGATAAATTACAAGTGTTTTTACAAGAGTGAGCACTGGTTTTATATAATTGTCTTTATTATACGCCGTGTTATTTGTGTCATAAATAATAGTCGTTTTTTGTTAATAAGTAGGTACCTAAAATATTGTATACTTTATCATTTAAATGTTCTAGTGTACGTCCTACAATTACGATCGGTCAGGGTACTTTTTAAATTTTTAATTTTAACTCTTTCCAAATTTAATTTTAAAATTTTAAATCTTACATAATGTTCAAACGTGTTTTTACATAGTAGGAATAAGATAAAAAAAAGTTCGCTGAACGATCTCAAGTAAACTTCATGACGAATTCAAATCGGTTTTCAGATTACTTATCGGATCACTGGTTCAGCCTGTGCGATGGAACAAAAAATGTACATTATATTAACTAAAATGGCTTTTACTCATAGACAAAATAATTTAAATTAAAAATAATACCATGAAGCTTATACAAATTAACCGGTAAATTAATTGCCATGGTGGAATTTTATTATAACCACTTTTTTTCTCTTAAAATATTGCCTATACAAAACTCCTTAAAAACCAACCGCTTGCAATCCCCTTAAGCCAGAAATAATTGAATTAAAACAACTACACAGAATATATAAAATGTACACTGTAAACAAATATTAAACAAACATTGAACACTTAATTTTGATACACTAATTTAATATTTAAAAAAAATAATAAAAGTTTCGTTATTGTCCCACTATAGGTAAGGCAACATTATATATTAAGCTGTCCTTTTTTATTTTTGCTACAAGTTATTACGCTTAAACTTTACTAGGAAATCATATTATTTGAACTTGGGACTACTGTACGCGCTCTACTAAAACACTGAGTTTTTCCATCTATGTTTTATATCTACAACATCATAGAGACAACACCGTAGTTAATTCTTGTAAAAAGAAGTGTATATATATAATATCTTTATTTTTTTCGTTTATAACAAGTTGATAAGGTTTTACAATAATGTGTTTCACATTTTTTTTTTATCGAGGAATCAGCGTTACTTTTTGGCCTACTAAAAAACTCTTCATACTTTATCTCTTGTTCCACTTAATTTATCACTTTAATTTTCATAACACCGTGCACCTCTAATATTGGAATACAAATTATTTGTATTATTGGTTTACCAATTGAATTTTAAATCAGATACAGATGCACAGAACGCATACAATAACTTTTTAATACTATACTATGTACCTACATTCACAGCGTTTTACTAACTTTTAATTAATAAGTCCAAAAATAATTATACTTTATTGTAAAAAATAACTACAACAGTACTGAACTAAATCTAACCCATCTCGTGAATTAAATGTTGAAAACAAATTGCATCGATCATATATTTTGGTGGTTCATTTTGTCTAATAAATATTTAAAATATAAAGATAATTAATGTATTGTAAAAATATTATATTTTTATAAACATATTAATATTACAGCACAAAAAATTATTAAATAATAATTATACTAAAACAATATTATTAAAATATAACTTTTATAGGTTGCATTAGTCGAGATATCATTTTTTTTTTTTTTTTGAGATAATAACCTACATGAGTGTTGGGAGGAGATTGTTTTTGCCAGAAGTGTATAAAAAAAGCGGTGCTTTTACCGGCGTTTACAGAAAGAAATTTACAAATGTTTTTGGGTCTTTGCAGAGACAACTTAATAGATTAATTGGCTCTCGTTGTCGGTAAATGAGCGATACACGGTATGATGATAATATATATTTTAAGGTACAACGCCTAACAGATCGGCGGGTTTGCACGTTTCCCTCGGCGGAAAGCGGCGCGGCGACGGCAGTATCGATTCAATGACGTCATCAAGGACCACGCCCGTCCGCCGGCAACTACACTATCCGGTGCCTCGCACCCCTATATCCAACAACACTGAATTGGACTCACACGGAAAGGCAGCTGTTTCAAAAAAATACTGTTTAGACACACACACACACACCGATAAGAGTTTTCTAATCGGTAAAAGCTACAATTGTGCTCGAGTATAATTGTCACAACAACGTTAAATTATTGGCCTTTTTGTGAAAAAAAAAATCATCAAAGGTTAATATATTAACAAATCAAAAGAAAACTTTTCGAAATCACAATTAATGAAACGTTGAAACGGCCGACCAATACGCGCCTGAACAAATTCTTCTAATTGATGGTGTATTATGTTATTTTGTCAAATTAGGTACCCGTATTTATTTGTTTTTTTTTCAATTATTGTGCTATAATGTGGTATAACCACTGATAAGAAACCGAGTACCGATTTATCATAAAAATAAATATTACTACAATTATTAATATCCAGTTAATGTAAAAAAATGTGTTCAATCTTCACACATGATCTGCAAGATTGGTTTTGCGTTTGATGACACGGACCGTATCGACAATAGAAGATGTATATTATTCCAATTGTGATTTCTTAAAAATCGTGGTATCTTAAACCGAACACAATACACACTTGAAGTCGCGGGAAATCGAATTCAATTTCAAAGCACCGACTCGTGTTCGGTATAGTCATATTATTCCAGAACGTAAATTATTTTTGTATTTCAGGTGCCCGTCAGACATGTGAATATACACAAATTTTAAAGTGTATAGACTTGGGTAGTACACAAAATTAACCCGTTTACGCCAATGGTATTGCACGCAGGACGAACATTATATGTTCTAAAAAAAGGTCCTTATAAATACATTATTATGTGTACAGTTATTCAATCTACTTCATTTTTTGCGAAAATAACTCACGGCCTAATTAACGGCGGTTAAGCTTTCTAAACTTAGGGCGTTTAATTATAATTAACAATTGTATAATATCAACATTTGTTAGTAGTGAAAATTTCAAATACCCATTAGACATTATAATTGGATCAATAATACGATTATCATACGGATTCCCCTATGAATCAAATTATTACATCGTTTATGTAGAGCAGTGTGAACGGCTAATAATACACTATCTACCTATATATTATATACGATGTTATAATATTGACAGGTCTATTGTGTGTCGTTGATAATGATTATTAGATGGCAAAGCGATAAAAAAAACAATCAAGCTATTAAGACATAAATACAAAATTATGACGAGTAGTAAGAGCATACGGTAATACAAAAAAATAAACATCGAATAAAGTCAAGACCATTCATAATTATATTTTCTTGACATTAACGCTTACGAACGGAAAGGAAAGTCTCCATTTCCTATAGTTAAAGAGTATGTTATTGATGTGTATTAATTATTATTCTGATATTGTTCTGACCAATAAATTGCAACTTACTATTTCGCAGAGTCGTTGAGCTGATATTCATTTGATCGAGAGAAACACATTTGGACGCCCGGATCGGCCCACAACCTTTTCATGGCATATAGAAGTTCTTCCGAGAAAGGCTCGGTATCTTCCATCCTTTGTATTACGTCCAATACCATTTTCGCATCAGTCTGTACGCAAAACAAATAGAAAATCAGAAAAAGAAACAAATATAGTTATCGTACTAATGACAACTATAATGTACATCTTAGCATAGACTGGCAAGCTTATAATATCACAGTGAATTTTATTTGAAGCAACATTGTTAGTCACCTGGCATCTATGGGATACACGATTAACTTTTTAATTACCTGTAATTTACTTCAAGTATTGGAATGAATAATTACTACACAAAACTTGAACAGTATATACTATACATATTAATTGAACTATTAGAAACTATTTGAACAATTAACATATTTTTTATGAAATTAGGTATTTATATAAATTTTACTATACTGTGTATGTATGATATACGACGCGGCTATTGGACTGAAATAACCTTATCTTACCTAACGGAATTTCATTTGAGAGTAAAATAAATACGATTAAAAGACACGTATTATGGAATGTTCAAAAATACATTTTCGGATAGGTATGGTTAAGTATGGTTAAGACGGCTAGTGTGACAGATTTGAATTTTAAAATCATTCTAGACCAAGTACACGTCTGCATGGAATTTCATTTTTATCTCGCCAAAATCGTTTACGTATAATAGAATTATGAATGCATACTAACTACAGTTTGCATAATATTATGTTACACATTGAAATTACAATAATATACTATTACTATACAAACCATTTGCATAGGTACACTCCGTTCAGTGCCGGTTAATAGAAAAATATCCTAACAATATTATGTATTTCGAATTTCAAACTATATCCGTTGTACTGTTTCTCTCCGGAACACAAAGCCATATTTACATACTTAATATTCTTATAGAAGTAAATTGACAACACTCCAGTACTGGGAAATATTTTACTCTAATGTAGTCTCCAGTGAAAATAATCATGACCATATAGTAGGTAACAGATGGTTCCTAATTTACACTTAAGGAATACCCACCTTTTCTATTACAAATATTTATAATGCTCGTCCTCGATAAATTATTACTATGTACCGGTAATTAGTAATAAATGTATTATTTTTTACGCTTAACCTTTTTATACTATATTCATTATTTTTTTTTTTTACTCACACACACGCATAATAGTTAACAAACCCTTAAGTGATTTAAAATTATTTAAAACCCTGTAGAAAAAACAAATAACTAATAACCCATGAGTAATTGAAATGGTTCTAAACAAATACCTAGTTAAAATGTAATATTTAATATCATTAGCTAACCAATTATTTTAGCATGTTTCGTGTAGTATGTGTATACAAAATATATTATAGTTTTTAACATGATATCAGTGTAAAAACGTTTGAAATAAAAAATTGTTTTTATTTTATTAGTAATTTATTGTTGGTATTTATAATATATTCGATTTAATTGGTAGTATTCAACTTATTAGTTACTACTACTAGATCGTGTTTTATAGAATTGACAAATATATTTATACAAAACACATATATTAATTGAATAATTAAGGATAAACGTGAATGTAAACTTATTATCTAACCATACAATGTTGTTTTATAGTAAAATCTATAACACGCAAATAGTCTATACTACTAAAACAACTTAAAAAATGTAGGTAATACCAAATTCGACATTTTACGAAAAATTAATTAAAATTACGTGCTTGTCATTTTTTTTTTAAACAATGATCTAAGCTATTTGACATATTAAGAATTGTCTGAAGACGGATATCAATATAACGTGTCTTTAGAATCTTATTGTACACTATATTATAGCTTACACGTGTGTATGTGTGTGCTTTTAATGGAGTACTCCATATGGTATACATGCGATTGTTGATCGGTCGTGACATCGTAAAAAATAGTTTTTTAGAGGGGGAGAGTAAATATCGGTACTTGGAAAAATAGCCGGGTTGTTTGGTAATATAAATAAAACCAAATGTTCAATAAAAATAAAATGTAGTCATAAAATTGATTTATTCTAAACACATGCGTGTATTATAAAATAATTTAGCATTACTATTATAGTAATAGACGGGAGTTCAAATACCCAATGTAATAATATGCAATTTAGCGTCAAAATCGTGTAGTTATTCGCTATTGAGAGGTTGACATTAACTATACGGTAATAATATTACCTAAAAAAAATGTACAATAGCCACTAAGAAAGTACATGTGGGTTACACACATATCAGTGCGTTGAAAGTTTTATTATTATTATGAACTTAAAACCGCTCGAATGTGTACACGTTAGTGTTAATTTTAGTTAGATAAGATTGTTAAAATATGTAATATTATTATTTATATATATATTTTTACAACGTCGTCTCTGATCTCTAACCTTCTCATAACAAAAACGAATTTGAAATACACGCATCGTGTTCCTTATAGCGAGAACGCGGTATGTTTCAAATATATACATACATACATTACAATGATAACCAAAATGTGTCATTTTCCTTTAATAGTTGGTCTCAAACAAAAAAATTGCATTTTTCATCGCGACAGTTTACAGCAGCGGAATGTGTTTAAAAATTAAAATCTAATATTATAATGTATTGTGCGTTTTTTGCCAGCAGATGAACAACAAACTCTAAATCATTCTAACCAATAACTGGTATAATATTTTAAAACTATTTTTATCCATCTGATTTTCAGTTGAACACGGTCAATGTACAGAAGTCTATTGGATAGAACTAGAATAACACAACATAATAATATTATGCTGATGCATATTATGCATCAAGAGAATTATTTGTAAGCCTGTAGGTACATGCGGGTGAATGTTCCTACATTTTAGTAAGCTAAAATGCATGTACACCGTTTTGTGTAAAAACAACTTAGGTTAGATTAGTCATTAGGTTTATTTTTCATACTTTTAACAGTATTATTGTAAACTGTTATTTATAAAATTAATTGTATTATATTTAACTGGTGTTCTTATTATGCCAGCTCCATCAATAATCCGTTAAAAAAGGTCAATGAAATATAATCTATATTCTAAAGTATAGCATTTCTCATGCGATCAGTGATGACTAATACCATATACAGTATGTCTTGGAATGTCTGATTCACAGTATTCGTTGACCTAAAAATATTTAGCTATCAAAATTAAAAAATATTAGGCGTCAGGAAAACTATATCCTACTGTTTTTAATGAGCTATGTTTCTGATGTTGTTTTGAAGTCTTTGAAACTTGATGCACTGTTTAAATCAACAGACGACAGGGACATACAGTATACCGCGTACAAAAATAATAACGAGTTTTAAAACTTTTCAAATATGTAAATCATATGTGACCAAAAAGAGTACCATCACACGGTACTCTCCGTATCTCTCACAGATGTCTCCATAGCCTACAGGATAAAAAATATATATTTGTTTTATATGTAAAAGTTAGTAAAATTTTTTTTTGGTCGATTGTTTTCAAACTAAAAAAAAATATCTACACAACTATAAAATTTAACTGCGGCGAGCGCTTACACAGTTTATATAAAACCGTTACAGACAATAATTGCGAGTTATAATTTTCTAAGAAATCGAAATTGGCAGTACTCTCTTAAACGTCTTGGGTTATAAACGCATAACATACGTATTTGAATATTATAATTTTATCTGCGAATAAATTTATCTCTCGATAGGTTTGTCTATTGTTTTTATTTTGTTTTTTGGCACACATAGTGTGAAATATTTTATGGTAACTGAAAATTAGGACAGGGTCGCGGCCACCGCCTATGGGGGAGCACCCGCCGATAATAATTATTGTTGGTGGCGTTGCGCTTCCACTCAATTCATTTCCCAGATTTGCTGGCCATCACAGAGCGTAGGTCAAATTAATTGCTGCAGTACGCGTTTTGTCCTATACACACGGTTGGTTAAAGGTTTTCACAAGGGACTACTACTTTACGGAGATCCGATAGATTCAATACACACCATTTTTTTAAGCTCCAATCAGTCCGATTGGTGGAAAAAAAAATATTATTTTATAGTCACAAAGTGCAATCTTAGAGACTCCACAAAACGACATATAAGTATATCCATCAAGTTTAAATTCAACGCTATTATTAGTACGTATTGTAAGTGTGTATTGTATTCATAGTGGTATAATTACTAAATGTTCAACTAAATTTACAAACAACCAAGTTTACGCTTAATTCGGCGCAATCGACTGAAAGCTATAGCTCAATCGATATTTTTCAATTTTCTTAAATTATCTATACCGATTGTATTATCGATTGTACTTAGTCAACTAGTTGTCGACTATCCTACATTGTTATTTTATTCGTTTTCAATATTATTTGTTAAATATTTACCAGTCACCGGTAATTTTATCAAGTAGTACCCCAGCTTGTTATGCATTGTTTGTTAACGGAAACTATTGAAAATGCCAATTTTCCTACTAAAACCTCCCCAGACCAATATTGCAAACACTGCCAACCCTATAATATAAGTTGTATTATGTCGTAATATAGCCATTGAGGCATCGTACAATACAAAATATACTCAATGGTATTATATGAATACAATATCTATACCCAACGGTATACTATACTTAGCCGAACATTATTATACTTTAGACGTCTTTACATTTCAACGGTTCTAAAATATTATGACAGCGTGATACGGGTTTTTTTTAGATATTGACTTTTTTTTTTATTATTATTTTTCGTAAGTTTAATCAATTAAATTGCGATCGTCCGTTGTATGTGGGTACGATTTGCGTGCAACATTTTTAAGGCGGCTACGATCGCGTGCTAAGACTGTCCCCGGTACATTATTATTATTAGATGCACGTAGGTATAATGTAAAAAATATGTCGGTACTTTTTTTTCCATTACATCTATTATGATTGGTGGATCTCATACGCGAATTGCATTGACGGCAACTATTATTATTAATCCTCCCGGTGAAAATGTATAAGCGAGTTATATAAGCTTATAATAAAAAAAAACCTTTTCGGCTTATCTAATCCTTTAGCCAGCTGTAGTTATTATACTTGAAAATACGAATATTACTGAAGTACGTACCTACACTACTAATGCTATCAAATCGACGACGTGTTTAAATCTAGAAACACGTCACGATAACGCCCTATTATTTGTCTACTCTCAAATTCAAAACAATTCGCGCCGGTAGCTCTATATTTGACTTGTAAATACATTTACTCTCTGAAATGGTTTATATTATGTGGTGGCTGTAATAAGGATTTAATTTCGTGAAAAAATCTTTTTTTTTAAAAGCCACAAAATTAAAACTTAAAGTAATATGAAAACAAGATCGCGTTGAACAAAATAATATAACTCTACACTATTTTTTATGTAGCTTTTAGTGTACTAACAAGTAGTTATGTTTTGACTAGAAAGCCATTAATTTAAAACTGTCCAATTCGATTTTCACCTATCGGCTCATTTCTTAAAAAACAAAACATTAACTTAAAGTCAAGTATGTACTTGCTTTGCTTACCTCTCGTTCGATGTAGCCGAAACCGATCCCTAGATTTGGCATAGCTCTTAATATGGCGACTAGCGACTGCACGGTATTGCTGAACACGACGGGCCTGTATTGTTTGAAGTCTTCTGACGTGAACCCACTTTCGTGAATAATTCTAGAAAATACAAAGTAAACACATTTTAACACCATGTAAAACATTTTTTACCGCGTCGTTATAATATTATCATATTATTCAGAATAATCTGACTAAACCCTATAGTGCTCTACACGCCCATTTGAGTAAACATGCTAAATACTACATAACAAAACTTTAATGCCAAACCAATGCAATGCACTTGATTCGAAATTAACCATCGAGCTACTGGACAAATCCTAACGGGGCGATTAATTTCAGGCTGAATGCTGCCATTTTTGTAAATGAAATTTATGTATAGCTTTTAGTTTGTCTCTTAAGAGAGCTAATTTAAAAATATAACATTTATTTAGCCACGGGAACGGTAGATCTGGTCTTCGATCTGCTATTGACTCGATGAGTATTATCATTGCTAATATTTTTTCCAACGAGTTTTTTCAACACCGGTTTCATTACACTCAAAACAATCGTGCAATGACTTTAAATTATGATTTTGATACAAATTATTTTTTTAAATAAAACACGTATCACACGATATAAACAGGTTTTGCCCAGACATCTAGTCAAAACTATATCGCCCGGAAGTGTTGATAGTATTATTGTTTCCAGAAATGTAATGTCCTACTAATGCTTGATAATATTAGGTATAGAAATGTGCAAATGACAACTAAAACATAATACATACAAAAACCTACGTATTTTTTTTAAATGGTCCATAATATTTCTACAATTACCAATCAAAAATTAATCTACCAGTTACCATAAGCCAATCTTATAAATTAATTATGAACTCCGAGAAAGGTACATTACCGTGATTGGGGTTGATTGATTAAAAGTCAAGTATTATAGTAATTAAGTTCGACTGACAAAAAGTAATACTTAAACGAATTGAGAATATGTTTCATATCTAATTTATTTAGTTGTACATCTATAATATTAAAATATGTATAATCATACATATTAGCATATCTATTCTATTCTATTATCGTTTTCATTCTATTCTGGACATATATTATAAGCCACAAACTGTAGTAGGTATTAAACATTAAGCTAATTAGCATAAATATGCAAACGTTATTTGGACTCTTTATTCTTGGTTGTCAACTGTAAGCCAGCTCCGTCAATTTAGTTTTAGCTATGATAATTGATGTAATGCTTAATAAAATATTACACAAATCTCTTATGCTTCCTCGAATATTAAGACTTTACTAAAGCCCGATTTGAATTCATAAATAAAAAAAAATAAACAAATGCATCTCAACGAAAGAAACAGGAACACCAGCACCTCACGATAATCAAAATATACAACAGGTATTTTATGTTTTCTTCTAGCGTTTGTGTATTTTCTGTGAGAGCAAGCCGACAGTCATACTATAGAAATTACATACACGGGCTTCTGACATACCAGCTTATTTTTATCGCGGTTTATTATTACAAACGGCGTTTCTGAAGTGTGCAGAGGTATTGTAATGTATATGAAACTTGAGTGGCGTCGGTAAGTATCGTACAGTCTAGTCTATAACATCGCCTAATAGTAATGGTAGGTATAATATTTTTTCTGGTTTCATTTCAATTTTTAGGCATATGACACGGATGGTTTTGTTATCATCGACTACCAGGCGTTTTTTTTTAAATAGATAATTATCTTGTTTTCAAATATTTCTCGACTTCCGAATTACCGAAATCATCAGTAACGTTCACATATTGTAATATTAGTTAAATTGGTCATACGGCAATGATTTCATTTGAAAAACAGAAACGGCCCGAATGACTTGCACGTTTCATACATAGGACCAGTGGCAGCGGCGGTCACTGATGGGTCGACGTCGACGGCGTTCGCGTGCTCAACTTGGAAAGGGACGCATGGAAGTATCGATCCTGCGACTCTACCACCACTACCGGCAGCACCGCCACCGCCGCCACAGAGGAGTCATAAAACCTTGTTTTGTGGTACACATTAACATCGGTGCATTTAATGCCGGGGCGTGGTCGATGTCCAAAAACGTTACTGATAAAGTTTGGTTTAAATTAAAAAAATATATTATATAAATTCAATATAATTGAAGTATAATATTTTACTGTATTCAAGTGTAAAAAAACCCCATTAAATGGTTTACTATGGTAATTATAGAACATTTAAAATTGCTCAAAGAAAGATTATTTGAAATCGTCTATTATTATTATAATCAACACTTTGATACTTAGATGGTTGATTAAAAAAATGAAAGTACAATAGGTCCTACCAATAAGAAAAAAAATCGACTTGATGATGATTTTGCTAATGATTTTGTTATCACTATTTAAATTAAATTTCTGGTAATTTATTAGATAATTTTGTATCACTATCCGAAGAGTAATATGGTTTGATTAACCCTTTAAGAGGTTTTTAATATAGATTCACCTTCTTTAGGTACTTCCAACGTTTAAAAATGACAAAGCCCGGGTAATACGATAAATATAAAAATATTATTATGTTTACCCTTAACAAATCCATTAAGGATTAATTTGGTAAGGCACGCTTAATCGTTTCAAACACTATCGAGTGCTTCTTCGTTATGATTGATAAAATCCAATAAAAAAACTTTTCTATTGTCATAGAATCGTATTGTAAGATATCAGTTATAATTTAGCATCATTTTGTTTAACATTTGCAGGTGTATAGTATGTTGAGAATTCTAGTAGTTCACTTAAGTTTTAATGCAAAAGTTTAATGAAATTCGTTGATTATTCGACCAATTTATTCAAAACAATAATAGCTATAATATATACCTACATATATTAAGTTAATATATTTTAATAATAATTATTGTTTACTAAAGTATTATCTCGAGTGTAATGATATGGTACAATACGCGTATTGATTACCAGTTAATCATCATTTAATAAATTATAATAGCAATTATTATCATAGGTGTAATAAAATAATAATTGGATAACTCACTTCATCTGTTTCACTATTGTACTTTTCCCTGATTCTCCAGCACCTGAAATCATAATAACTATAATTAGTAAAAATATATACGTAAACGCGCATTGTGTGACGAAATATTTTTTTTTCTATCATATTAGGTATAGGAAATGTTGTGTAGTCAGTGGCATTGGCTCATTAGTCATTACATTTAAATATATTCCAATCTCACATAGAAGTTTCCGTTGTAACTGCGCGAAACTGGAAAGTTATGCAATAGTGTTGTTTTTATCAGAGAAATAGCATACTATAAGATAGGACAGTATCGTCACAACCGAATTTAATCGAAAACAACGGCACTGTTATTCGGCCTTTCTCACAGCTGTGTTGATCCTGACGGGGCTTAATATATTTACAAACCATTTTTCTATACGGGCGAAACTCGGTGTAATAACAACTCAAACGAGCAACCAATTTACTAGCCGGTCAGCACTGAATCGCCGTTTATCGAACGTTGAATTTACATCCACAGTTTCAGTATTTTGAAAACTACTTTCAATTGTTTTAGAGGCAGTTGAGGGCAGTATAGTGTCGGCCTATACATGTGCCTTTTTATGAGGGTTTAGAAAGTTCAAATTTTGTGTACAACCCCGACAATTTACCCAGTGCTTTATCCGTACATCACGGACGGTCTATTTGTTGTTTTTTTACTTTTTCACGCGCACGAGAAACTCTCGGTGTTTGCGGAAAAGTCGCGCATTAAAGCATCTAGCAGATGCGGTAGAGGCGGCCGAAGAGTCGGCAACGGTGAATCGATTTCTCGAGGGAAAGGGGGGGGAGGAGGGCACCGCCACTGATGGCACGCAGAAGTGCCACTTCTGATGGAAAGCGTCAGACGCCGATAATAATAATAACACTTGTACACAATCATTAAAAGCTTTGACTTTCACAGGGTGACGATCAAACGACACGTACCAGGCCACCGAATTATCACCGCTGTCCCTTTTTCACCCCTTCCGCGAATTGTCATATATTCCCAATGCCGTTCTACAGCTGCAGACGTTTGGTTTAATCCTAATTATAACAACGGGTTAGTCTGGACCACGCGACAGAAAGTACAGACACGAGTTGCCAAAACATAAACCGCAGGCCGAAGGGATCACGAGGAGAAACAGAACGATGGCGTAGGAGGAAGGGGACGGGACATTCGGATTTCTCGAACGGAAATAATCGGCGCGTCCATTGCCAAGACACGTCGTCGTGTCGTGCGTACCGCCCAGTAAAGTAAGGGCCGCTAACGCGAGCGTTCACGCGCTACTCACCTAACAACAGCAGTTTTATGTCTTTGGCCGCCTGTAGGCCGTCTTCCCTGAGGTTCCTCTCGATCTGCCTGCTCCGGGCCAGGGCGGCCCGCTCCTCTGCGGACATGGCGCAGCCCATCTTGCGACCGACCTTTGCTAGGGCTGAAATCTTTACGCGCGCGGCTATTATACGTGCCGGGGGATGGACGACACTGCACCGCTACCGACCGTCGATCGCAACGATGCCGGACCACCACGGGGTGTGCCGCCGGTCATCGACACCGTCCAGTACCGTGTGCGTAACGCATCATCGTCGTCGCCGTCCCTTGAATGCGGGCCTTTCACGCACAAGCACTAACAGGACGCGTTGTTCGACGAGGTTCTGGACAGGATGAAATCCTCCGGTTGGGATGTAAACGCAAGTCGTAGGACGAAATTCGCGTACGCACTCCCGTACACGCAAACTCACGAGTCTCGATCGGCTCGTGACGTTGTAAATAATAATATGTCGATTAATACCGGTAGTATACGAATAAACTATATTAGAAGACCGACCGAATACGTCCTGTATTGTAATTATTCAGTGTCCCAACGAGACTAATCGGACTGGTAGTTATTACAACAAATAATAAACCGGAGACGGCCAGCGGTTACACTACTACTCGGGTGGGGGACCGCTGTGCGTTCGGCAGCGGCGGCGTCGGCGAATGCGAACGGCGTGGAGCAAGCGCAAAACGCGGACTGACGCCCGACCGTACAGCGTATACGCGCGTGCGCTGGCGACCGGATCGCGGATGAAGGATGTGTGTGTGTGTGTGCGAGTGCGGCGGCGGCGGGCACCGGCTGCACGGACGGTGCGGTGCTGCTCAAGTTGGGTGTGACCAACTTAACGGGACCCCTCGGTGTTGTGCGGCAAGCGGCACGTCCCGTTTCAGTACTGCGGCGGGTCGCCAGGGATCCGTTCGATTTCATTCAATCCGACTTCCTCACCCACGCCGGCGCGCGCCGTCGCCCGTCTCTGCTCGCTGCCGTTCATAATAACATGTTGCCGGTAGCCGATGGCGGCGGCGGTTTGTAAAATAGGTAATATGACGTGATGAGGAAAGCGAAAAGGGACCTCTATCGTCAAAGTTGATTTAGAGAAAAAGGTCGATTAAGATCGAAAGTATCGTGTTTTTTTGCCAAGTACCAATATTTTGTTGCTCGGTAGTTGGGAATCGCTAAAATTAGGATGTAGGTCTAATCCAAATTCCAATCGAATAATAGCCTGCATTAGTTGATCTCGGCAAAAGGGACCTCAATCCTCAAAGTCGTATACTTATTGTCATTGTTTTAACTACAAAGATGTACTGTTTAGCCGCATAAGCAAAGATTACTATCAGACAAAATAAGAAATACCATATAAAATTAATAAATATGAATGATAATATATAATTTCTTCATAAAAATAAAACAGTTTTTTTAAATAATTATCATAGTTATTTCAAAATAATTAAGAATTAATTGTTCAATCAAATTAGGTTAAAATATAAAATACTACTATCTAGTTATTTTCTAGCTATATTGTTGTACTATTAATCTATTCGTAAGTAATAAACATTTAATTTCATTACAAAGTTTTTGTGAAAAAAAAAATATTAAATCCAATCGACCATGTTGTTATAAGTCATAATATTATACTATGTTGACTTATTAATTTCATATATCTAACGTTTTTCCATCATATCACTTATGAGTTATTTATTATTGTCATTAGATACCATAAAACACAATATATTATCTTACAGCCTACAGATAATTTCGAACTTGTGTTCACGGTATAACTCATTATGTATGCTTTTGTGTCGCTTTAATAAACCTTCACTATATTACCCTTTCTTTATCATCTTGAGACTTGATGAATTTCGTGAGACTTCAGTATATATCATTTACATATTATACATAATTAGTATAACCTAACTTGTTAAAAAAAAACGACTATTTTACCCGTTCTCTAGTATTGTTTTCGAGGACAAAAATGTTTTGATTTAATAATCCAATAGATAGCGCAATATGTTATACAAGCAGCAACGTTGGATAATAGTTCACTTTATTTAAATTCTGAATTAGACAACATCTGGATTTTCAACATTTTAATTAGGGAAATGAGTAAATTTCCAATGTCTCATATGAAGACTAAGAAATTAAATATCACATTTAATATAAACCTATAGTTATCAGTACTTATATTATGTTTTAATTTTAGCCATTAATTTTAAATTGTTTTTTTATAATTGTATTTTTAAAAATAATGCACATGTTGGGTAACACAAGATCAACCTATAGTTTAAGCTTTAGATCTTAAGTCCAAAACCTTTAAACTACACGCAAGAAACTGGATGGAAAACCACCCCTTTTAGAGAAAATATTGTTGAATGATATTGTTTTGATTTTGGACTACACATCGATAGCACAATCTAAAAAACGCAAATTTTTTGCTTAATATTACAATATTTAGGTTTAACGCTACGCCATATTTTAATGGCCCAATTATTTATTGTTTATTTTTAAATCATACGGTACGAGAGGTCAGGGGAACAAGAGGGTAAAGAACAATGACAAAAAACCGCATGCAGTGCACAGTGTTTTAAGATGTTTGAGTTTTTTTTTTTTTTAATGATCGGGCTATAAAAAATAACATTTAGATGTACGATAAGGATATTTTTACTTTTACTGCAGGTATCATTAATTTATAAACATGTTGATTTTTAACACAACGTTATAGTACAAACTAAAATTTTTACAGAAAGAAGCGTTTGATCTATACAAACATTGTATTTATTATTAGAATTATAAATTTTTACATAGTACTATATGCTAAATAGTGGGATTCCAGGACAATAATAGTCTGTGTTGGCGGATAACTTTTAAATATTTTGTCACCCGGTAGATGGCAGCATCTTACAGTCCACAGTTTTAATCGTATAAAATAATAATCAATAATTTTTCCAGGATCTGCCGTCGGAGCGAGACTTGACGTAACCTGGCGGCAGCGCGAAGGACCTGTTAAAAAAAAAATGTTCTATTATGACCCACACTGTTAGTGCATCATCTGTTGCTTCTACAAACGCCCCTCGTCTTCTGTTTGGTAACGTCGACTGGTGTCCTCGGGTAATATTGAAAAGTAAAAAAATGAGGCAAGCTTTGTTTTTAACTATAACTTGCATTTTATCGTCAACGCGGGGTTATCCAAAGCTCGGAAAGTATAGTTTTGTCTTAGAAATTTGGAGTCACATTAGAACTCTACCTTTAGACAAATTCGGAATAGCTAGATACAGTATAACACAACTCTATTTTAAACATTACTAAAATTTAAAAACCGTCCATCGGAGAAAATATTCTTGAATAAAAAATAACGCAACAAAAAAAAACCTCAAAGAAATGTATATTCTAGATCCTTTCTAAATAATCATATAATCTGGATAACAATAGCGCGTATCAATTGTCGTGGGAAGTAGGACTTCTTTATTTGAATCACAATAGAGGAGACAGAAGTAAAAAAAAGCCACAAAATAAAAACTAAAAACTTCATATACAAATATTTCTACTAATAGTTACAGATTTGTATTTGATTTAAACTAAAATAATACTATTGCACAAAACAAATTAATTTTTCTGTTTTTTTAATCTATTGAGCATTTTGACTGATTGATTGGAAAATTTACAATATTCTAAAAAATGTTTAAAAAAAAACTACAAAATAATAATATTTTTGTGTCTCGTGTTAATTTGATCATTCTGTAAAAATAAAAAGTAGAAGAAATATCAACAAGAAGAATAGAGTAAAGGCACATTTTTGAGAAATTTGTATGTTATCCACCTGCTGTCTAATTTATAGAGTTAGTTACGTTCAAAAAAGTAAAGTAAAGAAAAAGTCTAACTTCTGGAGAAAATAATTTTGATATTTATTTGGTTTGTCAATATACATTGATTATGTACATGTCTAAACTTTAGAATGTTCCATATAAATTTGGAACTAATTTTATAGCGCACCATAAATTGAAGTTGAAAAGTATACAAATTGTTTGGTTGTTTTTCCCTAAGGGAGGGGTGAAGTTTTTTTAATTTTTGGTCAAGCAAAATACCTTTCGGGTATAAGTCACATCGTTGTAATTATTAAGAACTCCTACTGAATTCAATATAATTATGTATCATGAAATTGTCAAATGTCGACAGCTCAATTTTTAATTCCTAATGATCTTACACGATGTTAGAAGTATCAAGTATGATTTTAATTAAAAATGAAAAAAAAAGAACAATTAAACTACAAAGTACAAAACAATATTAATAAATAATAATGAGCGTGTCACAATAATCTGACAGATTTAGATAAAATTAATTTGCAATGTCAGATCATCGTGTTGTATTAAATATTTTAAAGTTTTAACGCAGATAATTGAAACGTCATTGTATAAAATATCAGGATTATTCATATTTCAAGCTACAAATAACACGAAATGATATAAATATATATATACAGTACTTTATAAATAAGGAAGTAAATAATCCTTAATGTAAATCACAATGTTTTTATAATTAAGAAATTCAGACTATTCTAAATGATGGACTGTTGTTAGTAAAGTTATATTTAAATTTAAGAATGTTAATTACGATTTATGTTCTTTAAAACAAAAAAAAACTTTATGTATCGTTTTATTTTGTAACTGTCAGTATTAAAAAGAGAGTTCTGAAAAAAAAAAGAAATAAAATCGTTAAATTTTTATTTATTTTTGTAAAACAGATTAAAATATTGGGTTTTAAAAGCGTTGCGTGGGAGCTATTGGATTTAATTGAAAGGGATGAATATTAATGTTGATGATATTCAGTCCTTTTATTATGTTTTTTTGCACATTCAATAAAAAAAGTTAAACTGGGCAAAAAATAATTTAAAACCTATACAGGTAACGTCAACAGTTTTTCTTAGAGCGTTTGTATTAAAATAAGAGTTTTTTTAGAATCTATTTAAAAGGGGCGAGATTAGATAATATTCTATTTCTACACATACAAAATATTATTTATTTTAAAATCAATGGTTGTGGCTTGTTTGCCACTGGATTTTTACGTTGGTAACAATTTAATGGTACATTATTTTGTCAATGTGTTTAATAAAAAAAAACACTATTTACTTTTTATAAAAAAAAAAGGTTTAATCAACGAGATAATATTTAGGTTTTGTGTACATTTATCATTCTAGTTTATTTTGCTATTATGTACAATTCTAACGTTTCATCAAATGTTCCTCAGTTAATTAAATTGTATGTTGGTTGTGTGTCGACCGAACAGAAGTGAATATTGGCAACAGCTAAATTGTTATATAGAGCTCATGTAGGTAAATCCATTGATTTCGTATTATTTTTATATGTAATATGTTATAATGTTATATGTTATTGTATAATGTTATATGTTGATAATATTTTTATATGTATTTTCTACATATTTTTGTTTTACTCGGTTATGTGCGTCGAGGCTTTTGTACGTAGCAAGTGTAGAATGTAGATATACGTCGCAATATTATATTACATGCAATTTATGGTAAAGATAATTAAGGCAGTGCAGTAACCGTTCATAAGCATAGCTTTGACGATAGCCTAGTGTTGTTAGAACCAAATAGGCACTAACGATCAGCAAAAAAAAAACAAGAAAATTCATCAGCGCTTAATTATGATTTTTGACAAAAAAAAAAACCAAAACAATAATTAAACGATACGTGACCAAAATATTTTCCAAACCCGTTAGAAAATGTACTTAACCTTTTGTATTGTATCTATAAACAATAAAGAATGGATAGACTGCGAACTGACGTAAGATGCGGCGATCCGAGAAAGTCGCGGATGTCAAGATATATTCTGTCTTACTAGTAAGTATGCCCGCTGGAGTGCAAAAGTTACTGTTTTGAATATTGCAGTTTAAAAACTACCGATTACAAACTAAATCATAATGCAAATAAATAAATCATAAAATATACCACAACTATTTGAAGATCCAATGTACTTATTGGAGAATTGGGATGTAACGAGTTGGACTCCGGGGCGAGTGCTTTAAATTTGGGATTTGAGATTTACTGTTAATGTGTACATCAGCAGTAAAATCCGCTGCAAACTAATATTATGCTAAATATTGTAAAACGTCGTTTGATTTAGTGTAAACACATTTATCAGCACTTGGCAGTTGGTATGATAAATTTGTAATGAATTGATGTTGAAATATTTTTCTTAATTCCTTATGGCTATCTATTGAAACGACATAGGTACATTCAAGTTTTTCTCATTACAATCGCTATATTATATACATGATATAGGTACAGAGCACAGGTACGAAGAAGCCACCACGACTCACGATAGTGAAGTGACTTCTTATCTAGTTCAACGTTAATTGTTAAACTAGATCGTATGGCTTCTGAGTTCTGACGACTTCGCAATTATTCAACAACAGCTATTGTATTGAACCTGGGTTATCAATTTTAATTTTTAATTTTACATATATTTTGTAATTTGATAATTATTTGTTTTTTAATTTATAATATATCAAATATAAATAAATACATACATAGCATACATTTCAGCTAATTTGTGGAAAAGATAAGTTAATGGACAGAAATCGTACCTAACAGGTTAATTTAATTTTCGAAATTTATAGGCGACGTGTTCATGTTAAATACTTGCAGCTGTATCCTGATATGATTTCCTGATTTTGGATTATATTCGTTAAACCCGAATATGACTTCAAGATTTCTCAATCAAATCAATGTCTTTTTTTTTTTTAAATCGCTCCGAAAGTTGTAAACAAAAATAGAAAATTTCTAATTTTATTTTGTGTGTTAAAAAAAACTAAATAATATGTTACAATAGTTCTGAATTTAGCAAGGAAAAAAAAACAAATGAAAATTTATTTGAAATTAATTTTATAAAAATTATTCCAACGTACTACAAAACGCGGAAATTATGACAAAATTATGTTTTTTACAACTTCAGGGGTGACTTATAGAGTTACTAGATTCTAGTCGTACTTGGACTAAGTTCTAATCCAGTGAACTATGAAGTAAAATATTTTGTGATTTTAACATAAAATATTATACGTAGGTATTTCCATATTCCATCACAAATCACAAATTTCAAAAAACTCGACGTACACCATTTTGCTTTTGAAGGACTCCAATTAAGATATATTTTGGTTCTCGTTCCAAATAGGTCAAATTTGATAAAAGTGTAATCAAGTTCAGGATGTACGATTCAAACACGTGTGCTACGATAAAAAATATTATAGTGTTTTGAAAAACCTGATCCGTTAATTAAATTGTACTTGATACACGTTTATTATAGGTCTAATAATTATTATTATGCGTTTCTTTATGCCGTACATAATGAATAACGATATATACTTAATATTAAGCTATAATTAATATTTAAGCATCAAATAAAACCGGTTATTAGGTTATATTTTTATCGTAATAATCGTAGTGTATTTTTTGTTTGATTTAAATGTACTAATAATTACAAACGACAAAATATTAAACCGGTCAACGGCACGCCGTGCCGCGCCTCAGAGCGTATCAATCGGCTTGTTCACGGCCGTGTCAATACGATGAGAGAAGCGCGGGCTGCGGCGCGGCGCCCGGTGGGAGACACAACATTATAGTGAACGGAAATACTGGCAAACGGGTCTGGGCCGCGTTCGGGTCATTTTTGGGTGAGTTCGGCCGCGGCAGCTCGCAGCTGTTGCTGACCGCCCGTGTTGGTCGCCGGGCGGCGCTGCGGTCGGGCTAGCGCGTACGCCGCCGTTCCGTTTCTACGCATCGGCGGTGGCGCTGCGGTCGCAATCGCTTGATAATAGCGCCGAGCGGTTGCTAAGGTTGTGGCGACGGCGACGGGGCCTATAGTAATAATAATAATAATAATACCTAGTGTTGGGAAAAATTTTTTTTTAAAAAAATTGAAATTACAATTCGCGGACGAGCACGCGCGAGAAACGGCAAGACAACACACAGCCGCGACACCGCGTTTTAAAAGCTTGTGCAATAACCGACAGGTTCGGCGGACCGAAAGCGCGAGTAACCACGGCCGTCGTTTTCATGTGGCACACTACGACCGCGATACGTTTGGTGTCTGGTCGCGCCGCGGCTTAACTCGGTCACTGATACGCGCGGCCGTCCGCCCGGCACCCGAACGCCGTCATCCGTGTGTTTTTCGACGATTTACACGACGTACCGTTTTGTCGACGGCCACGACAACAACAACAATTACACACCCACGTCCGCCAAGCGGTGCCCAGAGGTAAATAATATTGTTCTCCCGACTTGATTTTTCCCCCCTACCGTCGTGTTTCTCTCTGGCCTTAACAGCTCCTTCCAAGTACGCTCGCAAGTCTCGTTTCCCTCATCCTCCGTCGCGTTTCTCCCCGTCCCCGAAAATTTAAAATTGTCATCCCTTTTTTAATGATCTATAACTTCCTACAATAATTGTAACCTGCAATTGTATCCGCAGCAACTATCATGAGCGGTGACAACCTTACTAAACTGAATGTGCCCGATGAACTGCGAGAGATACTCCTCGACCTCACCATTGGCTATCTTCTCGAGCAGCCCACCGACATTATCGACTATGCAATTGAGTTCTTTGATAAGCTCAAAAAGTCGAGGCAACTACAACGTGTCGAAGACCGATCAGACGAATCGGAGGGTTCTGATTTTGGTAATTACTAATAATTTTATTTAATATTATTTCTTTAACTGCCCCAAAAACTAGGTATAACTAGAAACCAAAGCGCCCAGGGGCAAGATACATTTTTTGCCCCCTATATTACATGTTGATGTATATAGTAAACCATACAATAAAGCCCTGAATTAGAATGCACCATAGGGTATCTATCTACTCCCCTTGCACTCGCTGTAGCTATGCCAGATATGTTTTTCTTGTCATTAACCTAAAAGCGTGTCGTGTCTTAGAAAATCTCGTCAGCGGAAGTGCTGTGGTGTTACTGTTTACACTGCCATTTAATTTCCATACTTTTATAGTACCAAAAGTCGCAGTGTAAACACTGTGTACATAAACGCTTGGAAGGTTAAGGAGCTCCAACATCAGGCAATTAAATAGAGTAAATTTTAGGATTTTTCTTAAAACTATTATATTCTATACCTACTTAATCATAAATAAATAACGGTGAGTAATAGTGAACATTTTATTTTTACTATTTAAATATTTGCACTTGTATGCACAAATCAATTGTCACATATCTAAAGTACTTAAATATTTATTTTTCACTCAAACAGACAATTCAAGATCATAACAGTTTTACAAGTTTAATTTTGATAATGAAAAAATTGACTTTCATTTGGTGTTTACATTGTACAATGGATTGATTAAAATTAGTTTCTAACATATTATTAATTAATCAAATGTTTTAATTTGTGAAATTTTAAAAACTAAACACTTTTTTTAAATATTGTGTTTTACTTGCAACACTATGAATGTCTCACGTCCGGTATACTTTCTCACTCGAGCGACAGTACAAGCAGCTATTATCGATTTTGAACTGGTGGACATAATATGTTATGTGTGATATTCGTTAATTCTGGTCCAAACAGTTTTAATATTGACACCAAAAACAAAGGCGTAACTCACTTTTAAAATTTTTTTTAAAAAAATGTTATAAGATTGTGTTATTCGGAACTTCTTTGGTCGATTCAAGATACTTCCTTATTCTCTTGTTACACAAAAGACATTATCAGTTATAAAAAAAAAATGTTTTTTTTTTAAAATGAGTTACGACGGTTTTTGTTGGGGGCGTTGATATGCTTGCGATTTTGAAAAAATTAAGTTTTACATATATTCTATTTCATACATTTTAGAAATTAATCTAATTACTGATTTTAAATTCATAAAAAACCCTTTTTACTCAAACCGTTTAAAATGTTGTTTATTTTCGATAAGCTAGCATTAATATAGGTTTTTGACATAACTTCCCACAAAAATTAGGTATATAGAACAGTAAATGCCAAATATTCAATGTGTATTTGACACTTGCCTTATGGTTTTAATAGAAGTATCATCTAATAAACTGAAATCAATTTGTTTGGAAGATTAAGTCTAGAAAAAAATTATAGGATATATAAGGATTAAGGTATAGATCAGCTTGTAATATTTAATAATATTGTCGGGTTGAAAGAATTCGTTTTAAGAGGAAGTATCAGGCTTAGGAAACGGTAGTAAATTTATGTGCAACCTTGGAGTATAATTTTCTAAAATATGATAATAACTTATTTTCTGTAACCTTATCAGCTGTTGTTTAACATGTACATTTTTGCAATAAATCACTTATAGAGTTCTTTATTTTTGTTGATTTTGATTTATTCTCTTTTGCTTTCATTCTTGATCCACTTCTTATCAACACCTACACTGAAACTATGATAATAAATTAGTTGTTAATTAGGTTAAATATTTTAACCTAATAATTTAATAATTATTGAAGTAACTGGGCTCTGTTAAAAATAAAATAAAATAGATGTAAAATGTTTCTTTCTATTAATTAGTGAACTTAAACAAATTATTTATGCATTTTTTTTATAACATTTGGTGTAGTTAGGTGTATAAACTATTGTCATTTGATAATCTGCTTAATGAAAATTGCATGCGTAAGAGTAATCTAAATATTTTAAAATTATCTTAATTGGTTTTCCAACTATTGTAATAGTATGTTTATTGTTTTATTTAATCGCGCTATAATTGGATGTTCATTCCTACAATCGATTCAAATAAATAAACATGTGCATTGTTATCCATACACCTAATTACTCTGTTGTAAACAAATACATCACTAAGAAAACAGTTTTATTTATATTTTAGTCATAGCGTTAACGGCAATTTTAGAATTGAATATCCTGTAAAATCACAGTATTACTATGATTCTGCTGGTGCCGATGTTAGTACTACTTGGTCAACTGTAATATTCATTATGAGTTGTATAAGGATTTTTAAATTGAGCAAAAAAGGTCGCTATAATTTAATGAATGCTCAAAATAATAATTATGTGTTGGACGGTGATGATCATATTAATACTGCTGATAGGTTACAAATAGAATCATTCAAAATTCGTCCCAAATCTATTGACTCTCAATTAGAACCTTGGTGGTTCAACTTGGGTAATAACTTAAGAAGTCTATTGTCATTCATGTTACAGTATAGCAAAATAGTATGACATTTTATAGAGTTTGAAGCCATGATCAATTTTGATTTTTTTTTAGAATCTCCACCAGCACGTTATTGTACTAGACGCAAGTCAGTTTTTGCAGAAACTTACAATCCAGAAGAAGATGACGAAGAAGAGGGACCAAAGGTAAATATAACTGAATATAAAAAAATTAACTAGATATTTATTTATTAATTGTAATTTTGTTGATTATAGGTTGTATTCCCTAAGTCTGATGATCAACGCCAAGCTCTTGCAACCAGTGTAAAGAACATATTTATATTCAGAGCTTTGGATCCTGTAAGTATGAGTAAACAATTATTTTATAAAGAAAAATTAGGATAACTGTTGTATTTAGTTAGGACTGTGCTGCTTATGGTGGTAATTGATGTAACTTGAGTTACTTATTACAAACATTTAACAATAACTGTGTAAAAAATATAATCTTAGATTTAATGATTATGTTTGATATTTGTTGCATATTTTAATTTAATCTTTCAATGACTAAAAATAATCCACATTTTTTCGTCTTTAGGAACAAATGAATAACGTAATTGATGCCATGTTTGACCGTCAAGTTCGCACCGGAGATGTGATTATAAAACAGGGTGACGATGGTGACAACTTTTATGTCATCGATAGGTATGTAAATTCATTTCATATGATTATATTTATTGCAATTGCATTGCAATCTTGATCAATTTATATACATGTATCGGTTATTTAAATTTATAAGTCTCGTCCACACTAGTGCACCGAACCTCAAACTGCAACATGGACTTGTTGCAACAAAATGTTACAAGGTTTGCCAATTAGTGTCGGTACTTGCTATTTTAACAAATCTTTGATTCGACTTACTTGTGTAGACGAGACTTTACATGAAAAAATAAATTATATGCTTGTTTTTTTTTGTGTGTTATCAGAGGTACATTTGAAGCTTATGTCAATGAATCTGATGGTTCTGAACGTTTAGTGCATACATATGAAAATAAAGGAAGCTTTGGGGAACTTGCATTACTGTATAATATGCCTCGAGCTGCAACCATAAAATCTGTATCAGATGGTCTTTTATGGGCAATGGACCGCCAAATGTTTAGACGAATTGTGCTGAAAAGTGCATTCAAAAAACGTAAAATGTACGAAGAGCTTATTGATGTTGTTCCTATGTTGAAAGCATTACAAGTAAGATTTCTATTTAACTGATTTAAATTGTTTCATCAATGTTTTCATCTATTAAATTATATTTATATTATTATGTTGTTTTAGTCATATGAGAGAATGAATTTGGCGGACGCTTTAATACCCAAGTATTACGAAGAAAATGACTGCATTATCAATCAAGGAGATCCAGGGGATGGCATGTATTTTGTTGAAGAAGGTATTGTTAATGTATTAGTCACTAGTGATTCTGGCGAACAAATCAAAGTGAATCAAATAGAAAAAGGCGGCTACTTTGGTGAATTAGCACTTGTTACACATAAAGGTCGAGCTGCATCAGTTTTTGCTTCTGGAAAAGTAAAATTAGCATGTACGTATGAAAACATATTTAAGTATAGACATTTATAATAATTGACAATATATATTATTCCATAGTTTCAGTCATGAATTATATTGAGTTCTAGTTTTTGTTTGGAATGATTTACATGATATTCTGCGATAGAAATTGTTTTTAGTTTTTATGTTCACGAAATACTGTTATGCATACTTTAATGCTGGCTGCGTTGTTACCTATATCTTATTTGTTACCTGGTGACAAAATACATTTGGATTTTACATAGATCAGTTTGACTGAAAAGGTCAAAAACATAATAATAAATATTAAATTTGAAAATAGTTAAAATTTAGTTTAATATTGTCCACTTTCATTAACTGCAGTCTGATTTTTAAATACAATTAACTCAATTGTAGCTTATTGAATATTTTATTAAATTATTACCTACATAAATAAGTTATAAAAAAATTTTACAACATGAAATTGTAAGGGTCTTCTAGATATAATTAATTTATGCTGGTAAAAATACCAAACTACATAATCATGTGCATTAGTTAACTATATATGTAATCGATAGTATCATAATTATTGACTGTATTATTTAGTTGACTATGTAGTATCTATTTGCTTTTAATTTAATTGATTAAACAATACATTGATACAGTTGTTATAGGTGTATTAATTATTACGAGTGATTAATCGATAGGTCCTAGATTGTATTGGTACTGTAGGTTAAACTACTAATATAGATTATTAATAGAAAAAATAAAAACACTATTTTGTGTGCTTTATTCACAGTTTTGAGGTCTATTTAATATTTATCAATAAATGGGTTGCTTTAAAGTTAAGCCGCCGTCTATCTATGTATATTTGATAAATTGTACTATTTATACAAAAATGATTGATTGGTACTCTTTTAATATTAAGCTTTTTTGTTACACTTGTTATAGTAAATTAATCAATAGATTAAAAAAATTCTAAAACTTTTTTAAAAATAGTAGAACGACATCTAATTAGTGCGAGTTATTTTCTTTAGATGTAATACTACTGATATACAGTGAAAAACTAAGAAAATATTATCCCTTTCTACAAGAAGGGGTTGAAATAAGCAGTTTATTTCGCTTTTTTAAGTGTACTTTTAGGATTTAAGGTCTAAAACTTAAACTGATGTAGATGACACTAAATTTTTTTTCAAAAATCTGTAGTCACTTGTTATTATATCGAGAAAAAAAAAATTCAAAATGTATTCCTAGCACAATTATTCTAATATAATTAATTTAATCTATTTGCCATTTTTTTTTTTATGTTTGATATTTTGGTCATGTTTATAGGTGGATTAATTTTTAGAAATAATAATTTATATATTAATATTTATTTTTTAAACATTAGTAGGGTTTTTATGAATTTTAAAAACATTACAATATAATGGACTACTAAAAATGACCACAAGATTATTATAGACTTAAAAAGTAATAAAACACTTGAGTATCCCTATTTTTAAAAAAGCTGTAGTCATAATTTTTAATTGTGTGATTTTATCACTTTTAGTTATAATGATAAATATTCCAAAAGACTTGTGATCTTTTCAACCTTAATACTCTTTGTTCGCACTATGCCTCAATTCCACTTTTTTGTAGTTTAGAATTTAAGATTAATGAAATACACTTTTCCCATAATATGTGATTTGTAAATAAAAAATGTATGATAATTTATTAAAACAAGCTGTTACTATGCAAATTATAGTAAATATGTATATATAAATAAATACATTTCAAATAGCAGTTATTATACACAAGTAAAGAAAGTTTCGTATTCATTCTTTTGTATGTAAAAAGAATTAATACGAGACCTTGTTTACTTGTGTATAATAACTGTTATTTGAAATGTATTTATTTATATATATTTACTATTCATACTTTTGTTTTAAAAAAAATAATTAATAATACTTTTTATTTTATTAAATTTAAAATGTACGGAGTAGATAGATCAAGGGACCACAAAAACCTGTAATTATACTACTAAAAAAAAAAAAAAACTATTTTAAATTTATGTCATGTTATTGTAGCGATTTATAAGTCGTAATGAAAAAATGACTGGAAGAGAAATTTTAACAACACAATTTCGTCTAGTATTTTACTAGCTTTATCATAAAAGCTCTACTAAAAAAAATGTTTTGCACAAAATTTCTATTAAAAGATACATTTTTTTAATATTGCACATTTTTAATACTTAAAAGTAGTGGCATTTGTTCCCTTCCTATCTCTCTAGTGTGGAACTAGTTACTTTTATATTATACAAATAAGGTCAAAAGTTTAATGTAATGTAATTTTGTTTTTAGTTTTGGACGTTGACGCATTTGAACGTTTGTTGGGACCATGCATGGAAATCATGAAGCGAAACATTGGTGATTATGAAAATCAACTGGTTAAAATTTTTGGTTCCAAGCACAACATAACAGATATTCGATGAATGATATGATTGACTGATATCGTCATTCTTTTGTGTATGCGCGTCCATTGTAGTTTTTTATTTTTTTTTTTTGTTCCACCGACATTTGGTAAAACTTTATTTATTTATTTCTTCGTTTACCATTTTACCTATTCGTTAATATTAGAAACAAATTATAATATGTATTTATATATATATAAATGTATATATATATATACATACATATTATGTAATTAAATACATCTGCTACAATCAATCACACAATTATTAACTGTTGTATACATGTTATGTATATAAATTATATTTATTTACTGTAGCAATTTTTAATTGAGGCAACCATTGCGTTTATAGAAATATTTGCATTATGTTAATATGATTTCATTTATCGAGTTCTTAAACCTAGTTGTGTGATGAATATAATACAAAAAAACAGTATTTGTAGTAATACTTTTTAAAATTTAGTAGCGTTTTTAATTACATACGTTAAATATTGTGTTTACTACTCGGGTAAAATTTTCTATTGATTGTGTATGCCGTTTTTCACTCATAGGTTTTAAGCAGATGCTCTATCTTGACCAATATAAACTTACAGGTTAATATTATCTTAAGGTCGATTGATGTTATCGATTTAGAGCAATAAGTTGCCATTCAGGGCCATAACAGTTATCATACTCGCCGATAATTATTTTTATTGTATAGTCGGTAATATAATTTGTGATTGTTCCGAGATGACGATGGTCATCAGTATTCAAGACATTTTTGTACAAATTTTCCTTCATTCTTAAAATCTGTCCACATCTTTTACATAGTGTATACGGCTATTGGATTGTGATGCTAAGAAGCTCATATCGCCGCCCCGGTAGAACAATGACGCAACTGTAAAATTTGGTAAATTGGACTAAATGCCTCGAACGCATGAGGTAAAAAAACGACGTAACTGTAGTTGTAATAATTCAGTTGTAATAATTAATTGTGCATTCATGAATTATTAACATTTCAATGAAAAATAATTTGGTTCTTCTGTAAAATTTCAATTATTGCAGTTGTGTCATTGTTCTACCGGGGCGGCGATGTACAGTTAATTGTATACACATATTTTCTCATCATTTACTGTGAGTAGTGCATGTAGTAGCTAATAATACTATATTTGACTACTAAGAGGATGTTGCGTGCAATCAACATAATTAAAAAAAAAAAACGAGCTCATAATAATTGTGTCTATACCTCGTTTTTTTTTCTGGTTTATTACATAAAATATAATAATATATGTGTATTAAATAAGTTATGGCAAAAAAAAATATGACATTTATTGTTAATCTAAAAAATGTTACATTAGCCCTTAATTGTACATTTGTTTTTGTGTCAAAAGCATCCTATAATACAAACATTGTAAAATAACGATTACTGTTATCTCTTAGGCGTATAGGATCAAATTAAAACAATAATGATACGAAAGTGAAAAAAACATTTATGTTAGTTGTTATCGAAATAGCCATAAAAAAAGACTTATTGTAGAAGTATTGTGTATTAACATAAAATTATTGTAGTCAAATATTAATAATAATGATATTAATAATAATATAATATTTTGTAAAACAATTAACTTGGGTGCCGTATAAAATTGTATAGGTTTGAGTTTGTTGTTTTGTTTGTTCACCTCTGTGTGCTGTTTATTTGAAAACTTTCCCCCCCTCAATTTTTTTAAAGACTCCCAATTTTAGACACAAATTAATGTGTATACTCTACCATAAAAGTTGTTGTGTCACTCTTGATTAGTCAAAAGTATTAATCATAATATTGTATTGTAGTCAATCATTCCTGTAAACTGTCTAGTTTTGTTTTATTTTTTGGTGGTTGCGTTTTTTTATTTTATGTAAACAATTTATTTCCAAAGATGTTACAACAATTATGCAATTATGTATTTTTTGTTTTTTATTTTTTTCGTTTGTTTTGTAGTTAGTAATTAACTTGCTAAGTTCATTATAGGATACTCTAGTACGATTATATTTAACAATAAAACAATGTATCTACCATTTTTTTAAGTAAACTAAATAAAACATTGAAAACAAAATCATGAATGTTTGGTTTTTGCATATTCCTTGATAAAAAAAAAAAAGATTGGGTGTAGTTTGTAATGTAATATCAATTAGAAAATGTAATATTGCAATATCATAATGTAAAATATTCTATATTCAGGAGATGCACTTTAAAAAAAAAAGGGTACATCTTTGTTTTTAAGTTTATGATACAGGTTCTTTTTTTTACTTGATAAGAGTATATAGAAAAAAGTTAAAATGTAAATGCCAATTTAATCGATTATCTTTGAAAAAAAGGCCTTTGGAGGTTTTAGCAGAATAAATTTGGGGGAAAAAAATTTAAGACGCTTGTAAATTATTTATTAAGTCATTATGATAACTTTGATGAGAATGAGAAACTCGGCAAAAGTTCACTTTACAAAGTTTAATAAAATTATGTCGGTTAGCAGTCGTACTGAAAAACAATAAAATTATGATGTTTTAAATCTCAGTAAAAAAAAAACGTAACCGACGCAGATTTAATTAGTTAAGTATAACGCTTTTGATTTATTCGAAGCTATTGCCATTGAATTTTCATTATTAGTGAAATATTATTTATTTCGAATATTTTTTTCATAATAAAAAAATTATATTTTGTTGTTTGTTGAAAATCGTGTTTATAAACGCTTTTTTAGAGGTAACAAGATAAAAGTGTCTAATCAAAATTGTATTATTTGCCATGGGCATGTTTGAGAAAATATCCCAAGCTAGTTTAGACTTTCACTTGTGTTAATAGAACTTATGTTTAAAAGAACACCATACAATGTATTATTATAATATCAGGTAAATATTAAATAATGTACGAGTATATCATAACGTATCTACCTACTCTGCTGTTGTACAATAAAACGGAAAACAATTATTAAAACATGATTTAAATATCATTTACGTTGGTTAGGTATTCGATTTTTTATTTAGGTACATTACAATAATTTATACGGTTTATTCAATTGTATTTCAAACTACACGTCTGAAAAGTTTCTTTGGAAAAACTTTACTTACTGTGATTGAGAACATAGTGTGTGTACTACTTTGTGTTAACGTAATAAATAATTTATAGAACTTTAACGAAAAATAAAAAAGAATCAATAGCCGCATTTAAATTAGAAACACTGTTCTCTGTAGATAATTCTTTGGCCATTTTTTTTTAGTGTTGATGATTACGACTTGTTTGTTTAATGACGAAGATAATAAATTTATATTTCTTTCAATATTGACTCGTTTTAAATACATTGATTACCATTTATGATAATAAATAACAATATTACTATTTTTATTACCTAGTTGTAAATCTTTTAGCATGACGTGTCGACCTACACATTTGTTTGTTTGTAAAAACTGATTATATTACCTTCTCAACTAAATTATATGAAATATTAGTACATAAATAAATTACGCTACCACTTTCAAGTATTTCTATAAAATAGCTGATGAAAGATGTTACAATTTTTATTTAAATTCTGTTTTCGAGGATTAAAAAATTTGTGGTGTAAGTTAGGTTTAAATTGGACGAGTATTGCTTGTAATATTATGTGTATCTACAAATTAGACCGGTGCTCTATATTTATACATAATAGGGTCATCGGGTATTGATTGATTTACATACAAGAAAATTGAAAACTTGTCAAATTTTTATAACTAACCTAACCTGAATTAATTTCAATGATAATGTATAGTTAAATTTATCGGCACGGCACTAAATGGTAGAATAAACTATAAAATCAAGTGAAGAATATATCTACTTAACTGGACCTAATTGTACATCTAGACAATTTTGTATAAGCGGACTTAGCGTGGACGGGTTTTATAAGGAATTGACGATATAGGCAATACATGTTTAAGAATAAAAACGGTGTTAATAAATGCGGACTATAACACTTTATTTTTATGTTAATTATTTGTATAGTACGCTTTAGGGTATTATTTAAAAAAATTAAAATTGTAAAACAATTAGTGTGAGACTGTGGTCGGTCGAATTTCAATTCTGTGAAAAAATGTGTTATGTTTAAAAGAACCCCTTAAAATATTTGAATAACGTTTCTACCGATGTTGGTTGCATCTGTGGTTACGGTTGATAAAATGTAGTTACTAAAAATTCAATGAAATCAAAATGTACCTAGGACAAAATAATAATATAATGTTGATTTGATTACCCGATTTTTAGCCAACAATGTCAGTAGAAACCTCCCCCAACATTTTACAGCTTATCGTTTTCAAATTGTCCATTGTTGAAGAATGACGTTAATAACGTAGAATTTAATAAATACAATACAAATTAAACTACTTAATTTATCTGACACGAGTGTTAAGAGTACCATATTAATAGTAATCCCACCAATAGCAAAACGCGTGTTGCGCTTTTAAACACAAAGTTTCCTCTGTTACCCAAAATAACATTGCGATGAACCTTTTAGGCTTTAAGTTCACAATTCTCGTCAGGCCTCCCGTTAGAAATTATTTTAAAAGCTTAATATGACAACGTATTGATTTTGAAGATAACTTGAAACGGTCAAGATGGCAATTAAACTAAATAAGTAAAACCTTTTAGGAAAGAACGATTATTGCGGTATAATAGGTTCGGCGGTGAGTCGAAACAAAAATAATTGGAAAAAGTGTACTCAGGAAAATGTCCAAATAGTAATCGGCTAATGGACGGCCGTTATTAGCAGCAGATTAGCAAACACTTAAATGTTAAAACGAAGATCCTTGGCAAGTTATTCAATTTGCTCGGAAAGCAACAATGTGCGCTAGTTCGATCTTATAATATTTAGTGTGTCGAGTGTTCCATAGTTATAAAATAGTACTTAGGACTACTAAGCATTAGCGTCGGGCAGCAAGCTGTTGTGTAAGTTGCTCGTTAAGTTTCGGCTAGATTGTGTTTGCTTAGTAGGTATGTTTTATAATAATAAGTTTATATAAGACAAATACAATCGCAATGGTTCTTATTTTAGTCTGTAAACATTCAAAATTGTACATTTCATAGTATACATTATAGTATAATCGTACATACATCGGTACAAAACCACAGAGCAACGGGTTTGTAGTTACTATTTGATTAATTATTCAGTGTAAATTGCACCTAAATTATAATATAAAAAAATAATTAATACAAAATGTATGAGATAATACTCCGTATGGAAAGCGTTGGTCGTATAAAGTTTTCATTCGTTTCAACTTACTTGAATAGAAGAAGAAAAACTAAACAATGCAAACGCCGCCTAACTTTTTTTTATATAAATGAACTTGTAAATAACGATTCTGCTGCTATTTTTTTTTAAAGTATATCACCTGTATTCTTACACAACCATTGAAAAGTAGGATTACCTTTACGTTATATTATTTCATTGGGATATCGTTGAACTCTGCTCTTTTATTTCAAGCAATTGCCGACACAATAATAAGCAAATAGTTTGAATAATCTATCGCGTTTGGATACCTGTAAAATTAAATTCTTGAAATTTCGGAATTCAATATCACATCCTAATACTGTCCCAACCAGCAGTTTAACGTTTTAATTTTAAAAGATTTTTGTCGTTCAATTTAAACATACATATAAGTGTGTTTATATGTCATTTTTCTTTTCTTTTAATGTTTGTATGTTTCTTACGTGTGGTTTTTTCCTGTGCCCGATTTTAGCTAATAAATTCGGAAAATTCTACTCCATTCATCAGATTACTACATATTTAAGAAAGTTGAAAAAAATGCTAACGAATTTTATCGTTGATAATATTATTCAGTTCCGTACACTGGGTGGGTTTATGGCTTCTTGTTTATGTTAACTTTATTATAAACAAGTTGGTCTCGACGAAGGTATAATTAACTTGACTGGCGATTTTCACATCTCGGTGAAATGATAATATATATGTGGATTACACCGGTGTGATCTATTCGTACAGCTTTTTCTATTACTAAGCCCGGACTTTTCCTCACCTCTCGGCCGCAGTTTGCCGGTGCTCGGA